GTATATATATATGTATATATATATGTATATATATATATATATATGTGTGTGTGTGTGTGTGTGTGTAAATATTACAATTCCATAGGGTTTAATAATTAATATATATTTTTACATCAGCTTGCCAACAGTATCGTATTATTTATTAACTTTCAATTTTAATTTTGCGGGGTACTTTACATTAAGCCCTTGGGATATCTTCAAATCAATTTTCGTTTTACGCGTTCGTTCGCACGTTTCATTTTACTGTAATCCCTGATTTTTACGAAAAATTACATAAATTCAATTTTTTGGTATTTTCCTACAACTAAAATATTGAAGAAACGGATATTCACTTTCTCGCTACTGCTTATGCGGTAGAGTACAAAAATAATGCTATGCAAAAAAGACAGTGAATTTTCGGCAAAAAATCGTTATAAAGGGCCCTGGCAACGAAAAACTGGATAAATTCAATCCTACATTTAGAAGGAGAAAAACCCTCAAACACGTGGTGTAGCCCTAATCTATGTTTTGTACGTATATGACACATACATTTTACCGAAAAATCGATTGACTGCAAAATTTGGTATTCCCCCACATATCCGATGTCGGAGGGGGGGGGGCGTACTTCACATGTGTGAAGGGTAAAGGACGTTTAACAGAAATTGAACATTATTTCATATTCCATGGTTCGTTTCTTACATTCAAACTTTTTGTTATACGTTTTAAAATAAATATTTTAGAAATTATTTAAAACCTTACATTGCGTCCTTTGAGTTGAACGTGAAAACGAATAGATGTTTTCGCTCTGCTTAATAACATGTGGGAATATAAGAGTAATCAATGTAAAAGAGTGATTTCTATGAGTATAAAAATATATTTTTCTATCCCTATTCATTTTCTGGCTAACGATATCAACAATACTTATTGGCAAAATGTGTGTATCATTCGAATTAGCGTTTAGTATTGCTACATTTTTTTCACGCTTCTTTTGTTATGGGATTTTTCCAATGGTAGGAGACAAATTATCATATTCCAATATTACAGAACCATTAACTTACGTAACAAAGATCGGTAAAAGAAAGGGGTGCTGATCCCATTTTCGACACTTTTCGAAAATTGAGGGAAAATTCGAAATAGTAAGTTCGAATATCCCGCCCTTGGTTTGAGGCGGTTACTCTCCGATTAGCATGCAGATAAATTTCAGAGACAGACCTAATTCATAACTAATAAAAAAGTTCAATAATCTTATACTTGTGCACTAGGCTTTTTCGATATTACCTCTGCCCGCGGCATTTATGGCATAAATGCAGCGATGGATATTTAAGAAGTTAATTGTCGGCGACCTAGTGGGAGAGAAGATAAGGTGGCCTGATTTAATTACCGTTACTACGTCCAATATTAAGTCGAAAATAACACGTATACATAAATATGTATAAGGTAATTATATCGTACTTCCGAATGCATTCATATAGTTCCGGATGTTCAATTTGTGAAATAATACTTGCTTCCTTGCAAGGTGTACTAAAAGTAATGAAAGTATGTGCCTTTCTAGCATTGCTTCTTTGGGTGTAACTTGTCTAAACAAGTTTGTTGCGATTCTCCTTAATATGCCTTGCAAATTCCTATAAATTGCAATATTCTTAGTTCCTAAATTACATACAACAATTTTTCCACATACTATTAGTAAAAATTAAAACATGAAACCTGAGCCGGCTATTCCCGCCCAAGCGATCGAACGACTACCATCGGGGCAGACGCTCACATGCCCGAGATGACCTTGTGGCTCATTTCCCGCGCGAAAACCACGCATGCGCCAAAGGACCTCCCCCCACCAGTACCGTCGGCTGAGGAAACTCCCAGCCTGGAGATAGTCCTGCGCAATGTCGCTGTGGACATTAATCTACAATCTTCACATTGCCTATCCTTGGTTTAATATCTCTATCCAAAACATCTGACCGGTTCTATTTACCTACATTCCCACGAATATTATCCTCCTTCGGGGCATTCAATTTTTGCCATAACATGACCGTTCCTTAAACATGTTGGGTAGTGTTATTAAGCAAAATTACGAAATTCTATTATTGTTAACTGTCTAGCCGCATTCATATTTAAGCACACTAGCTAATTTCGAACTAAACAACGGTCAATGGCAATATGATATTCTAGATGGCAAGTAGAACATATTCTAATTCCCCTTTACAAGAGTATAAAAGGATATCACGTTTGACAGTATTTTTTTCTCGCGGGTTTGTGTTATTATTGCTCCGTAAATTTTTCCATATGCCAAAACCCACTGATGTGTACTCCTCTTTCAACTACACTAGGAGGGGACTATGCCTTTGTTGGAGACGAACTGCAACACGACTTTCATGAATACCCGAGCACAGAGTACCAAGAAAAAGCATATATTGTTTACCCATACATTTCGCTATTTGTACACAGATTTCTAATAAGAATAATGTCCAACTCCGAAGAATTCCCAGCAACTTCATGCACAATGATGACGGGTGGAAATACCAATTTGTTAATTATAACGTCAATTTTAGCAGAAAATACTACTCTCGTGAACAAACTCCTCCTATAGTACCAACAATAGAAGATTCGAAGAACCAAAACATGCCTCTTACAATACCCGTTTGCACATTCAAAACTTTTCGCGCGACAGCCGCCCATTCCCCCAATCTTAACGCAGCATCCGCGCGGGGTCAACGCACTCTGGTCCCATTCATTGGCTTACGCGTTCGTGTTGTCTCGAACGCACTCGGCTACGGTCGCCCCACGTCATATCGATCTCGAGTACTTGGGCGGGGCCTGCCAGACCTTCACCTTGACGCAAGCGCGGCGCGGCGCTACAGGCGGCCATGGTCGGCGGACTAAAGACGAAGCGCAGCCATCTCCCCCGCCCTTCTGACCGCCTTCGCTCCACGACGTTTCACCGGTAGTCCGTTCAAGCTTTACTTGCGCATTCCAACAAGTATTGCCAGGATTTCCTACGCCCCCACAAAACTAGCAACCTCACAGAGGGTGCGCCTACTGCTTCTAGCACAGGACAGGCTACGCCAATTTCACTGTCGCGACTCTGCGCTTGGATGATTTGGAATGGACCGCCACAATAACTCAACATAGATTTTTCCATTTCACTGCACATAAATTTATTCCATACAAATGTATATTCAATTATTACAATACCTTTTAGAATAACAAAATAGTTAAAATGTAGGGATCTGAACTTTTTTTCACTAATAATCACACCACAAATGCAAATGCACACACTGCTGTTAACTCCTTTCAATTTCAACTTTTAAAAAGACTGCCCTGTCCCATTCAGAATCAAAGAAATTCTGAAAAAGCATTCTAAGAGGATAATATAATTGTTTTGTGTGTAAACAACCCCTCAAGAATGCATCCTTAAAAATTCTGCTCAAATTGAAAAGAATTATACAAGAACAACTAGAATAACAAAATAGGAACATTAAAACAAATGCTGTCTGAAAGAATAGTTTAAAAGGATGATACCTTCTCTGGAAAAGAATCATCCTGCTTCTATGATTTTTCCTCACAAATATCCCTAAATACACAGCCATCACTGGCATCTCATGTCAAAAATTCAGGTCCCTATTATCAACTTGAAAAAACAAAGAATACAATGGTTTTTAATAATTTTTATTGGGGGCCCTGAAGGGGAACAGTACAATTTTGAGAATCATGCAAAATATTGGAATTACAGCAGTCGTAAAACTAGCATTACAAAATGTATAAACCCAGCAGAAAACTGATCGCATGTCACATTGGCACACTTATTACTCTTTGCCTGCTCACATGCCGAAGCTCGAGCAGAGCCAATTATACTCACTGACGCTGCAGACAGAAGAATTGGATAAAATAAGACAGAACGAGTCACAGAAACTGCTTCCTTCTATTGCTTTACACAAAACATGAAATTGCAAAAATAATCCTATATCCCCCGTTTTCACTTTTCGTACTGGGAGCAATCATGATCCCACAGGCAGTAATATCAGCCACTCAACCCAAAATTACACCACACTTTATACAAATTGTTTAGCTAGACGTTGTGTCTTGTTTTTTTATATTTTCAAATGTTTACAAAGCTACTTATTGTTTAAATTAGACCGTAGTAAAAATTAAACGTCACGAATCCTCGGCAACATAGCACTAAACTGAGCTTGGCGTAAAAACCTTCATTCAATATTTAAAGTCTGCAAACCATTGTAAAAAAATTACATCACATCACAGTGCATGCAGAGGACGAAATGTCCACATCATACCAGCCCTCTTCGGAGCTCCACCAATATACATCAGCCAAGCGTCTGACTTATTGTGGTTTGGTTTACACAGACAAGGAATGAATACATTGGGTTCTAAGCAGGAAGGAGGTGGAGAGCCAACAATGTCTTTAAAGTTTTTGCAATGAAAAATTTTTCACACAGCTAGGAAAGGGGAGATGAAGGGTAGAAAGAGCAGGACTAGAGATTATAAAAAACCCTAATGACTCGGTATCAAATGCAATGGGCATACTAGGATCAGCTACAAAACTCTCTTGTTTTTTATCTTAAACTTCTACAAGGCACACCTTGATATAAATAACTACTTGGCTGTACAGTAGATTCCTACTTCATAAAAGGTGAAGAACATTATTTGGACATGGAAACATCAAGGTGTACCTTGGAGAGGATTCAACCAACCAGACAGTTCACATACAAAGGAGCCCGTTAAATTCTCAATGCCTTATTTGCAGACATTCACCCAAGCACTGCTTGCCACAAATATCCGGTCACAAGGTATTGAGACAAAGAAAAATGCAGTTCAAGATTTTCACCACGTGAGTAAGAACTCAAACTGAATTAGCCAGAACCATGATGCACATTACTGTTCGCTGTATTGAAAAACGACCATTTCTGCTCTGAAGTTCTGCTTTTGTCACCACAGAAGAACAGTCTATACATTATCTGGAAAGATAATAAAACACACATGACATTTCAAAGCCACAAGTACATTGCACATGTGAAACTAAGTGTCATGCATATACCTCTAGAATCCACAGGACACTAAGTAATCCCCTAGCTTTTCCACTACCGAAGCAGCTTGCTGGGGTTGGATAGGATCTTCATATAGTGAAACAACAACAGCTGGAAAGTAAAAAAAAGAAACATATGCAACACCATAATCTATTCTGATCTTTGACACAAAAGGCTGCCATCAGGGGAATAACAGAAATTAGATAAATTACAGAAACATGCAAATGGCATTACATAAATGGGAAATCAAAATTACACTTTACTAGGAGGGCGTAAGTTCTAAACATAACCTGCAGTCATTATCCTGATTGCAGCTTTATTGCCTCAAAGAACAGAGACATTGAAATAGCTTTCATATTGCTTGAAGCATCAGTTGTAAGTAAATATATACTTTTTTTATTTGAAGTTAAGCAATACTGTGCATTCTTTGTACTATGTATCGTACTGTACTTTGTATCATATGAGTACATGATTAACACTATTCCAAAACCTAACTGATAGAAGCACAAATCTGGGGTACTATCTTACTTTGTGTCGTCTTCATGCAGTGCACTCCTACTTTGCCCAATTTGGCCCTAATCACTCTGTCAGTACCAGAGAGGTAGATGTACCGATTTCCAGCCAACGTAACCCCAGATGATGTCAATATATCTTGCTTTTCAAACCCCTGGGCCAGCTTTGCAAGCTCCTCTTTGGAAACCTGGAATATAAACAAGAGATCTGGACCCAGTGCCACACCACAAACAAAATATTGCCCCTAACTAGGAAGCAAAACCATTCAGAAAATTAAAAAAATTGCTTCTCTAGACCCACCCATGAATGCCCATTCAGTACAAACAAAACCAAAATCCAATTCAAATAACCACAAGTATTTTGTTAACATACTATATATAGTCACAAACCTTAAAGACTACAGATATTTAAAACATGCAGCAGATGCCCTGAAAGGATGGTGGATAAGCAAACCAATTAATGTGAAAACTAATTTTCATGTTATAAAATTATTTCTAGCAACTATCCCTTCATAATGTACAATAAACATACTACTTTCTCAATTTGAATAAAGTAGGACATTTGTGCGACTACTAAATCTGTTACGCGAAACAAATCGATTATCTAAGTAAATTTTAAATTTAAACTTCAAATTGTTTGGATCAAACTTTCACCTAAGATAGAAATTATCGAAATAACGTATACGAGATTCACGACACACTTCCGGAACATTCTGGTTGACCACATTACCTCCCATTATGTCTGGACACTCGTTATCCACAATTAGAGCCGAGAAATAGCAACACATAAATCGCGCCATCAGACTACATCTATTTTAGGATATAACGCATGGACAAAAGAATACAATGCTCACATACAAAATCTTAAAATTTCGCCAGAAATTTACTCTTACATAGCACATTAAAAAATTCTAGCACCACCTCTTTCCTAAATACACCATACACTATCCGGTCAGCTACCGCATTTTCTTTCCTAGTTTTGATTAAACTTTTAAAACCCATTCCATGTTTGAAAAACACAACACGAGGGACAGAAATACCTCAAACAATTTTGGGAAATGTCAAATACGCTCGACAAGAAGTCCTTTATTTAGACAATATTACAGCAAACCTTTGAAGAAAATTAAAAGAAACTATTTTATCGCCGGACTGCCAGCGTATGCAGAAAATATACACCACGTTAATTCTGACTCTCGATTGAAAATTCTGGCTCAAATTGAAAATGAGTTTTCCGGCGGGAGACAATGCTCGAATAGTCCAACCTAGTTAACCTACAAATTTTCATGAGCATATCAGGGCTAATGCAATAAAATAGTTATAATACTAACAATGCTTTTTTTCGGTCAAGTCATTAGCCAAGTAGAATGAGTAAAAAATCCTACCAGAATATCGCAATAGCTTTTTAGCAAAAGGTTATTTAAAAAAAACATCAGCACGAAAAATTATCACGAAGTTTTTAAAAACAGAACACACTTGCTCGGAAATTGTCTCCTGTACTAAGCACTTTATCGATTAACAGAAAAGGTTACACATGTGAAATATACGTCGAATACGAAGAATGCTAAATACTGCATTATATCTCACGACACTCGTTATCTAATTGTACCGACCGCCAACCCCACTTTTCGCATATGGAAGGTAACATTAACTTCATTTCGCCTATTGTACGCCAATTAACCAACTATTCAAAAATCCACAATTTTAAACCAGTCTGACAGGTAGGAACAATCCCAAATTCACAACCATTGAATACGATAGCTAAGCATAAATCCAACCGGGCAAGGCACGCCGGCCGCGCGATAATCGGTGGCACACGTATTCTCCTCCTGATGCCGCCATTTTGACACATACCGGACGAGTCGGCTAACAAAGTAACTACGAAAATCGCTCAACGTTTTTAGAATAGTGCTTTCATTGCAGAAATGACATCAAACACGACCTAAATAAACACACTTACAAAATTAGGCAGATTTAACTCTTAGATAAGACAAATTCCTCACGCACCTATACTTGTCAGCCCACACCCAGGACCCAGTGGTTATGTCCTTGCCTTCCACAGATCATTTTCAACCTTTCTTGCGACTATTTGAAACACACAATCGGCGACACCACACAAGAATTCACCACAAAACGATCACTTCTCAATGCACCTTTCTTGAAAACCATAACCGGTACGTAAAAGCGAATACATTCAGCAGCCATCACTACACATCCTGGAACGAAGTAACGAGTACTTACCTCGAATCCCTCCGATTTCGCCCAAACATTTCCATCATGTCCAGCAATTGCAGCTTTGGTTACACACCGGGATGCCAGCAATTGCTTATCCACGTAATCCTGCCAGCTCATGGTGCACACAAATTCTAAAAGCCGACAGACACGCACAAACCTTACGCCACAAACTTCGCGTGAACACTACCGTTGACTAAAAGAACTAAGCTGCCAGGAGCCACTGCCTAGATATCCCTCCGCCTGAGTCATGTGAATTTATGTATATAGATGTATAGATTCGCCGAGAATATACAATTACTTCATTTTACAGAACTATTTCTAATATAAATATTGACAAAATGAACAAATTCGTAGATAAGATTTGAGAACTACTTTCTGTCGTAACAAATGCACCACGTTATGAGCGTTCTTTACACTAACGCCATCTATCGGCGAAATAGCCACCTAAAAGTGTACTTCGATTATTTGACTCGATAGTTCCCGTATTCCCGCTCTAGCGCCACTTAAGTCTCATATCATGCTCCTTGTGTTTCTTAGTAATGGAAGTCTGTATACTTGTTTTCAAACTTTTATTCACAATTTCATTAAAGAAAACCTGATATTACAAAATTATAAAGTTTTTAAAAAATAAATAAAAGAGAACATCGTAAAATCTGTCAAAATCATGCAATTAAATTTATAAAAACAATATAAATGAATACAATCTCCAATGACTAAGGAAAAGGAGCTGGGTACACGACAAGAAAACCACTGTTTGCTGCACTTCATTTAGGAAATTTTGATCTTTATTTCCAAAAATTCTTCCAACCGATGGACTGGCCAAACATCGCCTGGAAATACAGAAAAAGCAATTCTTTAACATTCCCCCAAAAAGGAGTCAACTAACCAGCAAAATAGCACTTCATGGAAAGTATTTCATGCTCAAACAGGGTTTCAGTCATTTAAAAACAAAGTTAGATTTATGAACTTTTATTAATATGCTAAATAAGATCCTACAAAATCCACAATGTCGGAAACAAATCTGGGTTTTATAACGTCTCCTGCACCTTTTCTGGTTAAAATATCCCTTCCAAAATCCCACAAGACATCTGCCAAGACAGCAAAACACTTGAGAATGGAAGCAAGACACTATGTAATTTATTGAAACTCCATGATTATAAAATTGTATTTTTTGCAATTTAGCAGCTGTACAATCTGCAAAGGGGCTGAAAGCATTTCCATGATATTTTAACACCCACTTCACATTCACGGAAATGCATTGCAAAACGTAAGTAAAAAGAAATAATACCCTACATTCTAACCATAGAAGCACAATATGTGAAATGTAAGGAAGGAAAAAACGTAGAATTGGTAAGTTCATAGTGAATTGTATACATGCACAAGGAGCTATAATATTAGTTAACATAGAATCCTGACTTAAAACACCAGGATTAGACAATCCACAATGTACTGATTAAATTAAACCCTTCTTAGTATGATATACCTTAACATATAATACAATAGAATAAGAATGAACTGATCAACATACAAAGAAATTGACACCAGTTTAGTTTATCAACACGACACGACAAATATCAAGAGATTAGTCTGTAAAGACCAATCAACTCAAGACAGAAATCTGTCGATACAAATCACTCTTGAATCAGAGGGCAGGCACTGCCCTCCCCCAAACTGGAGTCTCGCAGGGAGGATCCAAAAGCAGCACTAAACCGCAGTGGATGCCTGGAGAATCATCATGTGCCGACTGGCGCAGAATAAGAATTCGCAAAATCACAATATATCGCAGCAAGTAGTCCAGAACCCCTAGGTGCAGTCATAACCTCGATACTCACACCATTTAGAACTCGCAATAGAGAACAGCACTAGACTTAGATTAAGTCTGCTACATTCATTGGCATCTCTTCAATGCGGGTATTGTAGAATTGTTCAATGTCTTTCAATGTACGCTTGTCATCTTCGGTGACAAAATTAATAGCAACTCCTTTTCGGCCGAAACGACCACCACGGCCAATTCTAGAAACAAACAAAATGTGTTCTTTGGGTATTTCTTACACATATACCAATTTGTAAAAATGAAAAAATACTGTCCAACAAGAAAAATGTAGCTAAAATACAATGTATCAGGAGGTAGAATCAAAATTTTCCCCACCATTAGAAGACAAAATGTGTTAAACTACAAATTTAATATTTACATGGTTCTACCACAAGCATTTACATATACTCGTTTCCAAAATACATCAAATGTATTTGCTCTGATTATTTACAAAATTATAGTCATAAATGAATCACCTTCGAACATTTTGACCTATTTACTAGATATATTACATAGTTTACTGTGGCTGTAACAATGACAATTCTCAACTTCATGATAAGAATGTTTTCATTACACTTTCTGAATACAATTTTCTCAGTTAAGGACACATGGTGAATGGTCAAGTGTGTAACCAGCAGATTTTAGATATTTTATATCATTGCCTTTAATACAAGGAGTCCTAAGAAACAATCCATGTATAAACTTCATACTTGCAATCAGTATTAAAATCTGCTCCAAAAATATAACCTATTGCAGTTTACAGACTAGTCAGAAACAAAATATTTTGATAACTCTCAAACAATCTTTCAGAGAAAAACTACTACTGCAAATTGCTCTTTTCAGCTCACTCTACAATGAACACTTAATAGCACAAATCTAAGTAAAGCAGCATTTACATAAAGTATTATTGTATTACAATTTAAAACATTTTATTTTTTGAGATGTATCATAGGCAATAAGTCATAGGATCTTATGAGAATGGATTACTTTTAGGGTGTGTTATGAGTGATTAATTACATACTATATACTGCGTACATTGTGTGAGAACATACAACCACATGTGTTTTTAAAACAAATATTGTATATAACTAATATATTGTATGTTGGTAAGTAACCAAAACCACATTTAACGTTGTTGGACAGATTTACTGCACCATGTAAAAAAATTTAACTGAAGTATATACCTATGGATATAGTTTTCTCGATTAGACGGCAAGTCATAGTTGATAACTAATGAAACTTGCTGTACATCAATTCCACGAGCTAGAAGGTCAGTGGTAATCAGTACACGACTTGATCCTGTGCGGAACTGCCGCATAATTACATCACGTTCACGTTGTTCCATGTCTCCATGCTGAAACATCAAATTTTTAGTTACACATCATAACTTACAAAGGGTTGAATATATACAATCAGCAATCGTTCTCTGAATACTTACCATAGCTGATACTGTGAAGTCCTTACGATGCATACTCTCGGTAAGCCAGTCGACTTTGCGACGGGTATTACAAAAGATTACAGCTTGAGTAATACTCAAGGTGTCATAGAGATCGCATAGGGTGTCAAATTTCCAATCTTCTCGTTCAACGAAAACGAAGAACTGTTTAATACCTGGAACAAACAAATAATATTGACATTCTTACAAACTATGCGTAAATTAATAAATCAAATAAAGCTAATATCAGTGAACAGACTAAAGAACAAGCCTTTCACTACAATTTTAAAAGTTGATTTCACTGAGCTCACAAAATAATCAAGTACAGGATTCACTTTACCTTCCAAAGTCAACTCTTCTCTCTTTACAAGAATTTTTACGGGATCTCTCATAAAATGGGAAGTCACTTCTAAAACATCCTGAGGCATGGTAGCAGAAAGCAGAATAACCTGTAACGGTAACAACCAGCATGTTCTTACATTAATGTTTAGTTCTAACGCCAATCACATGATCCCCTGCACAAACACACAAATGATGTTTTACCAAAAGTGATTAGAACTTTAATAAAAATATTATACCTGAATGTCTGCTGGCACAGTTTGGAACACATCTCTGATCTGATCTTTGAAACCTCTTGATAACATTTCATCAGCTTCATCCAAAACGAACAGCTTTATATGGCTAGTACCTATTGAACAGCATATTAAAATTAAAAAAATTGTCCACGCAATTATAATTAATGCTATGAAAAGTAGCTAATACATACGCAGTGACCTCCGAACAATCATATCATACACACGTCCTGGAGTCCCTACTACAACATGTACACCCTGTTCTAACTTCCTCATATCTTCCCTAACATTCGTGCCACCAATGCAGGCATGGCACTGGGCACTCATAAAATCACCAAGAGCTATAACAACCTTCTGAATCTGAAAATGTTTAAACAATTCAATCAATATTTAAATTCCTTCATAAAAATTTAAAAACAAGCGTGTTTGTAATAAAATTCTTTACCTGCTGAGCTAATTCTCTTGTTGGAGCAAGAATTAGAGCTTGACATTCACGTACACTCATATCAATCTTTTGCAGAATAGATATAGAAAAAGTCGCAGTCTTCCCAGTTCCTAGAAATCAAGTATTGAGAAAATAATATTATCAAAATTCATCACTGACTATTCTCAAACAATTTATTACCACTTACCAGACTGAGCTTGGGCTATTACATCATACCCCTTGACACAAGGCACAATCGCACGTTGCTGGATTGCAGACGGCTTTTCAAAACCATATGCATAGATGCCTCTAAGGAGTTCTTCCTTCAAATTCATATCATCAAAATTGTCTACAACCTACGAGAAGACCACATAAGTAACATCTTGGGTAGGTTAGGTTATTAGAATACAGAAAATGCAGAACATTTACTTACCTCCTCCCAAGTGGACTCGATGATTCCATCGACATCCATTCCTGGAGGGCCCTCGGACCGATGCTCTTCTTTTTCACTCGGCCCATTTTTTGAATCTCCTCCTGACCACTCATCACTAAAAAATTAAATTTTAAATAATTAAACCATTACAAACCATACAAATATTAATAAACAGTACTTGCAAAAAAATTGGTTAAGAGGGTAGTTAATACAATAATAATAGAGAAAATTATCTAGCTTAATTTTTCGTCAATAATAATACAAAATATGAACGCTTTGTCCACAAAATGTGGAACAATACTCTCTAAATAAATTAAAACAACACTAATATGCAGGGTCGTCCGTTAGTTAAAATACCCTCGTGCCATGTTAGCCAAGAATCTCCACATGCACATTATTCTGACACCTGCTATGTAAACACGTGAAGCCAAAAAAATTAAAATTTGTTAATACAAACGTATAGGCACTAATACATACATCATTGTAGACTAAGATACTAAAATCTTTATAAACACGTGTTCTCACAAATCTTCAACCACAAACCGGCTTTACAATTTATGCACTTCTAATCAAAGTATAACCAAGCACTACAACACGCCGCGCACACCAAATATATTTCACTTTGCGATAGCTCAAAGCCTCTTCAGAAAATCCACCCACATAATGTCCGAAAGCGGGCTAGAAAACGTGCTACAGGGATACTTAGAATTGTTCTTATGAACTACCACCTTTCTACAAGATTATTTGGTATACAGATAATTTACAAGAAAGCGGTTTTCAAATAACACAATACTACAAGCTTCTCAAGAAGGCTATTCTGTTAATTTAGGCAAAGAAAATTCATTGTCAAAGCTAAGCAAGCGCCATGTTGGCAGTTCATTCCCTCGCAGCAATGGAAACCTTGACAATTCCAATATTTGAGGTTAATATACTTATAAAATCAGCATGCTTCACAATCTAACACAATTCACAATCGTTACTGAGCGTTATGTGCGAAGTGAAAATCACTACTAAAATTCAAATACTACAAATTTCTCAACATTACCTTCTTTCAGGTGTATACGACATGTTTCACTGCTGGATAACGCGACGGAAAGGAACATCTGAGTCACTTCATCCAAAATGTTCATACGCCAAGTGATTGTAAGTAGTGAATAATTGTATCGCTCCGCCTTGTAAAATTATCCAAAAATTATGAACTTTTATTTTAATATCAATATGAATTATTGAAAACTGATCTTAATGAAAAAATATTACAAACAATTTTTGGAACTATTTATAATAGCGGATGAAGACTTCGAAAAATATCAGGAAGCTGACGTAATTTCCGACGAACGTAATTCCGGCGTCCTGTAGCAGCTATCTGGCGGGCATTTCATAAAACTACTAGAGCTTACCAACTCGGCCGCTGTTATAGAAGGAATAAAATGAAGAGAAATTTATAAATGTAACCTTCCAATTCGCATAATAATCCTTCCAGTAATAATGTCTTTACAATCTAAAATATACACCTAAGAGATATTGAATATTGACACAAATTCAATTGTTTACTACATGAAAAATCGACTCAAAAATGAACATTTCTACTTATTTGCAAGTTTAGTTGAAAAATAGAGCATTTATGATGCTTATGAAATTATTTCACATACATAAATATAATGTTTGCTGTTCGATTTGTACACAAATATTAGTCACATTTGGGAACTAAATTTCTGCATTCCCTTCTGGTATTACCATTTGAAGTACAATGAAACAATTACACACAATGGTAGGTTCTAAATACCACCACTCCTGCAGTAATCTTGTAATCCCTGTCAAGGATGATATCAATGAGTGGTTTGATTCTGTATTTCTGTTGAGATTTGCTTGTAAAATATCTCAAGCTCTGAGCCTCCTAAATATATTTTCAAAGTATTAGGGTAAATGTGGCCATTTCAATTGTTGTAAAATACCACAACAACACAGTAGTTAAAAAAACTACTATTAGATTAGTTTTACAATTTTCCATTTTAGGCGAACAGTGAGAGAAAATCTCTCTAGAAAACTACTAATTTGTAAGGAATTTACATACATTTGTCCAGAAAACAATCCAGTAAAAAATCTCTGGCACTGATTCTTGGTAGAAAAGTGGAAACTAATTTTAAGAAACATTATAAATTTTAAAACATCAGTCAAGCATTAAGATAGGGAAGAGGGTAGAATGATGTTGATGAAAGTCAATATAATTTGTGAACTTGAAAGTTTCAAGAGTGTCAAATTTGAAGCAGCTAATATTTTTTTTTAAAGGGAGAACTTTCAACTAGAAATTCACAAGGGTAGCATTTGCAATTGAGGCCTATTCCAGAAGAAGGGCACATAAGCCTTTGCTAGCGTATAGGCTTATGTGCCCTTCTGGAATAGGCTTCAACTGTTGCAACTCTACTTATACAATCTTTAATTTCTCTTCTTTCTTTCTCAAACAACTTTTTTTGTGTCAAACTATCAATTCTTGGGACATCCAGAAAGAAGGGAAGAAGAAAAGAAGTCTTGAAGTATGAGTCACTTCGAATAAATTAACTGCAGGAACTAGTAATAAAATTATTTTAGTTTATGTTTAAAAAGATATTTATTTCTTTATTATAATATTAATAAATATGAAAAGAAGCATGTATAATTGTCAACCATAATTTTTTATCCCATGACCTTGGATAAGGATTATATTAACTCCAGCAGTTTACATTTTCTGTATAAGTTCAGTTATCCATTACCACAAGGAAGAGACCTGATCTCTACTATTCCATCAGTTGTATGTTGCTTGACAACCAGATGGATGCTTTGTGGCTACTTGAAACGAGAACTGCAATACATTTTGGAAAGGGTAGAACATAACTCCATGTTCAAGATAACATCAGGGATTATAATGTACTAGGTTCATTTCCATTTTTAAATAAATCAAGGCTTCTACTTTGAAAGGCTATGTGAACTGATGATTTAAACTTTGGTGAGAAGGTGAAGAGCATTGTAAGGGCAAAAGCAAGGAATTTTGGTGACAACAGGGATTTAGAGCTTGGTGTTGTGCGTGATTCTGATGGCATTTGGATGCTATAAAAGTGCAATTGGATACAAAAAGCTGAAATTTATGATGAATATGCAGTAACTACTGTTGTGATTAAAGGAGAACAATTTAAGAAATTATATACAATGCTATAAGAGACTCCATGGAAATGACAAGAAAAGAAAAGAGATATTATGATCTATGTTCATTACCAAATTATGGGTTCTGCAGAAATTATGATTGTGATGGCTGCTTAAACTCAGAGTAAAAAATCTGTTATGTTCATAGAAGTGACTCTCTTTTTCAGATAGATTGATTCCTACTGATTTATAACTCAGTGTTCTGGTATTAATTTTTTTGCATGTAATAGTTTATTTTTATTTGTATTATGGGCACAGCCAATAATATATCAAAAAACATAAAAAATAATATTTTGTCAAATACAAAGCCTTATTTGTAAAATTTAAGTAAATTTTGTATCAATAAAGTATAGTTCTCAGTAAAGAATATAAACAGTCTTATCTCCATAACATTGTTATCTCTTACAATATAAACAAAATTTGTATGCCCCAGATTATGGTTTACTGAGAAGGATAATACCGTTTCCCTGAGAAACGATCAAATCCGGTTTGAAACAGATAGATTTGGAAAGTTTGTAAATTAAATGTCTGATGTATGGAGGTGTGCAGTCTAAAATAAAGAGGGGAGCCAACTACATATCTGGCCTTCCTTTTCCCTTACGCTTTATTTTTACATGTCATACACACACACACATTTCATTGGCATTAAATTTTTTTTTATTGGTCATGTTTTAATGTGACATTTCTCTTAAGCTTTATTTTTACATATGTCATACACACACACACACACACACACATTTCATTGGCATTAAATTATTTTTTTATTGGTCGTGTTTTAATGTGACATTTGTGCATAATTTTATTATAATTTCATGGACAGAATTTTGTATATTTTGTTCAATAAGAATTATTATATTTCTTTGACAGTTGACTGTTATAACAGTTCACAAAAAATCACTGAACAATCTTGTTCTTCAGTTTCAATAGACAGATCAAATTATAATTTGGATATTATTGTCATAATCATCAATGTTGGCTTTTATTTGTATTTTAATTTGATTTGCACTCTACTGAATAAATAATATATTGCTTCTGTTGCATCATCATTCTCATTTGTTTTCATTCTCAGTTCATGTTAAATTCATTGTTATCATTAAACCAATTTTTGGAGACATTAAGCCCTGATTGACCATCTCGCAGATCCTTAAACTGTCTTTTTTCAAAAGTATATGTAATTTAAAACAATATGTAATTTAATTACCAACACATGAAAAGGAAAAGAAAGCTAAGGGAATGCTTTAATTATATTTACATTTGTTTTTTTGAACAAATGTACAGAGTAATATATGAAAGATAGAGAAAGTTATTTAAGCTGATTTTAAGAATGGAAATACACATTTAGGGTTCCCTGACTCCAAAAGAGTATTTGATTTTTTAATTGAAAACACAACAACAACAAAAAACAACACACTTCGAAAACATCCATTGATCTGTATAGCCATCAACACTTGCACCTAAATTATTTGTACATTTTTGTTTTTATGATTATTCCCTGATTAGCCACTGTAAATTTGAATCAAATTCTTTGAATTTTGAGGGTACTTTACATAAAGCTCCTTGGAGAGTTTCAACATTTTCTTAAAAAATTTGCAAATTTTTCTTGAAATTCCTTAGAGCAATAGACTAAAATACAATTTTAAAGAAGACGTAACTCTAATATTCACTATAAACTCTGAATTTCAAAAGTTACAAAAGTTTAAAGTTTTTTGGTTCCCCTCATAGAGCTACATTATTCAAGATCAAAATGTTTTCTTTGCATAAAATGTGCTCTTCACAAATGGGTCATTAATGACATGTAATGTTTTGAAAATATTAGTTTTTGACCATAATTTATTGCTGTTATGAGTGCAAGTGCTTCAAATTATTTCCAATGAAGTTTACCCAAAACTTTAAAAAATCTTTGTGAAAATTAGTTGAGAATTGCATTAGTTGCATTAGTTGAAACAGCATTTCTTTAAAATATGGACCCAAATTTTTTCGATGAAAATTTGTATTTAGATAAGTTTTAGAAATTGAGAAAATATGAAAAAATATATTTTAGGCGCCAATAGATGATAGCCTAAAAAAGGGTGTGGAAACACCAGAAGCTAGCCTACACTAAGGGGAATAGCAAAATAACTAGTATGAAGAAGTCTGTGCCATTCTGTAGTTCCACTAGTTTACTTTCTTGCATTCTACTTACATAATACAGAGAAAGTATTCTAATGCTGCTGCAAAAACTGCTAGTTTTCAAAAGAAGAACATGTATTGTGGGCCCTGATACCAAAAAAGGGGATAGAGCTTGCATATAGAGCAAGGTTTTATTTTTCCACAATATGAATAAACTTGTGATACTACAGAATGACACAGACTTTCCCAAATTTGTTTTCTATTTCCTTTGGTCTTGGCCAGCTACTTGTCACATATTCATGTCAGCTGCCACCAATCGCCGCCAAGTCTTTTTTAAATTTTTCTTCATTTTTCGGTTTTCTAATGATAGAATGGAAATATTATTTTAAGGATATTAAAGAACAGTAAAATCTCATACTAAATAGAAATACTTTTTAAAAATTTGGAGCTGTATTTTAAAAAATGGCTGTTTTTGCATTACTGTAAATTAAAATTTTAAAGCTCTTTTTCTCAAAAAATTTTTGAGTTTTCGGACAACTTCATTTGAAGACATTTAAAGTACTTGAACTCACAAATACAACAGTACTTACAAATTGCTGGAAATTACATTGTAAATAGCATGAGAGATATTTAAAAAAATGCACATTTGTGTAATTTTTAAAAAATGTACATTTTTGTAATTAAAAAATGAAAACAAAAAATACACCAAAATTAACTTTACATCATATTAAATAATGCAATTACCACTATCCATTAGAAATGTTTGAAAACAAATTTTAGACCCGTTTTTGAGAAAATGGCGTTTGAGCGTTCCAAAAAATGGGTGGTTTTGAACTTGTTTTTACAGAAAACGGTAGTTTTTGTGAAACTTTGTATGTTATTTAAATCTCACGTACTCATTAATACAATAATGGCAAACAAATTGTCGCAGATATAAATAATAACA